TTTATACAAGCACAGCGTATAGTACAGCATAGATAAAATAAACTTTATGACAAGCTGTCTCCAAGGAAATCCTTGCTTGCCTAAAATTGTACAAACCCTGCAATTTTAGGGGAACATCAGCAGTTTTGAGTGAGTGGAACACACAGAAGTAAACATATAATTACATAATTCATAACCTAATCTCAGCAGGATTTTTGCAATAATGGTAAAAAAACTTAAATCCTCCCTTTTTCATGAAAGAAGAGTGGAAGAAGAGGTCTGAATCTTGGCGTGCCAGGTTTCTGGACAGGAATGGAAACAGAACACAGTAGCTAGGACACCCTGAAGACAGTTAACCTAAGGAAATCTCAGGTACCTACAGGCAAGATGCCATGTCAGTTAGATTTTCCTCTGTAGCTGATAGAGTTAGGCACCTCTATATAGTAAGATCTTCCGCTTTGGGTACTTCTTTTAGGATGACATGAATGATTTCCTCTTGCCTATTGCTTGCCACTGACTATAAGAAAAGCCCCAAAAAAGGGCCCGTGGCTTTCTGGCTAACACCAGATGAGATGAAGCTTCTGGAAGATCATTTCTTGTGGCTAGGCCAAGATCTGATGATAAAACAAAGCCACATCCTGTGGATCTTATCTCATACAAGTCCACTTTAAAATATTTTTAAGCTACCATGAAGATTAGGTTTAGGATTGTTTAATTTAATGTTTTGGGTTTTTTTTACTTTAAAATTGGAAAGGACACAGCTAATCTGTTGTGACTTGTTAACCTGAGTTAGTTATTTTGGACTGTGTGGTCGTAATAACTTTTGTTATGTCAAAAATATTTGTTTTCCCTAGAAGGTTGGCTTGTCTCTTTGTTGAAATACATCTAATTTTCGGAATCATTTAGAAACATAACATATTAGAAAGAAATAAGTTAGATGATTATTAGCAGGCGTGAACTAGTGTTCAGCATGTTGCAGCTGGGGTTCAGGGCACAGAAGGAAAACAGAACTGATTCTTCTCCAGAATTTGTCAAGGATTCTTATGGTAGGAAGAGCTTAGACTGCAATTTTAAAGGGAAATTAAAGACAGATGACTAATGGCAGCTAGTTTCCAGGCATAGGGGACTATTAAAAAAAATAGTTTGGGTCTGCATTTTGGTCATTTCTTACTGAGTTTCCTAATCTTCCAAGCTCAAATTAAGCTCTGTATAGCACTAACGATAATCTTGTACATCAGTAATGTTTGTATCTAGACCATCTTTGAAAAAGTCCACCACAGCAGCAGGGCACAGATATTTCCTAGCACTACACATGCAGGGATGGAGTTGTTTACAAATAAATAAAATAGCTTTCTCTGTCAGGTAGGTGGTTTTTGCATAGCTTTACTTTTTTGTAACAGTAATTTCTGTACATCTTGATGAATGAGAAGTGTAGCAGTTTCACTGACACTGCTATCAAAAACACATGCACTTTTCTATCGAGTTATAAAGCTGAAGGAGAGAGGGACTCATAACTATCAAATCATCACAATAAGGTATCTAAAAAGGTCAAATAAAACGTCTAGATGTGCTGGCCAATCATCTAAACAATCCACCAAAGAGTTCTCAACAGGAAAATACTGCATTACTGCATAGCCACAGCCAATTGCTCACAATTTTTATGAAAAATTAGGCTTTTAAACTGTTTAGTCAGCTGTGTTATGTTAGAAGAAAAATGAAAAAACCCCAACAGAACCCACAATTACTAATAAAAATACACATTTGTAGTGCTGGACATATCTTAAAACTTACAATGCTTACTATTTTAAACAGAATTAAGATTTAACAACAATGTGATGACTTGTCAGCTGTATTTTAAAATGGTTTAGGCATGTATGTACTAGGCATCTATCATATGTCTATGAAGAAAGAAGGAAGACAGAAGAAACAGAAACAAGCAAATTTTAAATGTGTGTTAAAATATGCCATGTGAGATTGTGTGTGAATCACAGCACTAACTTGCAAGTGATTTTCTCATATAATTAAAAGGTCAAAGCAGTTTGACTTGAACTCAAATTGAATTTAAATTTAGTTGCTGCTTTATAACATTTGGTTTCAAAAGTTCCAGGCAGAGTTGAGTTGTAGAATTTCTATAGAATCCTTTTGTTATACCTAACCAGATATTGACTGCTAGCACCCAAGCACACATCAAGCTATAGGCCATCATTGATCCAATATAGCTTTGGTTTTCCATTATGAAAAGTTCCCTTTCATTAGAGTTTAAAAGGATCTAGTGTGGCAAAGTAAAGACTCTGTATTCGTGACCTGAAATAATCTACTCTTTATGAAAGGCTGACAAATCGCAGAGAATCAAAGAACGTGCCTGTGGCTGTAGAGGTTTTATCTGAGCCTAATCTAGGGGTCACTGGAAAATTCAATGCATAATTGAAGATTCATCAAAAAGAATTTCTCAGATTAAAAGCTACGTTTACTGTGTGAATGAGAAATCCTGGTGTGTTGCTTTGCTTCCACGTTGTTTGAAGGCAGCTTCTTTTTTTTTTTTTTTTTTTAAATTTCAGGAATAAAAGAAATGGCTCAAGGAAAATGAATAATCACATCAGCTGCTGGTTTGTCCTTCTCAAATGAGCAGCTTTCTGTGCGGAAATGGACTTTCTATATTTAAGATCAGTGATGTCACAAACCCTACCACCTCACTCTACCTGCCATCCCTCACTTGCTCTAGTAGTCATAATTTTGTTTGCTTTCATAGTTGTTTGTTGGTTTGTTTGTTGTTTTTTTTTTAACCCCTCAAATCTTGGCCGAAGAGTAGACAAGTGAAAAAATAATCCTGTTGCTATTCTGAAACCAAAAGAAACCCAGAATGTGTTTTCTAAAGCCCATCTTTTGAATTGGTTTTTGTATAACAGCATACTGTTCTGAGCTGTTCATGAGATGCTCGTGTCAGAGAGCTGCCTGGTCCCAGGCCAGCCACCTGCCATGGAGCTATAGCTCACAGGGCAGAGCATGGGTACAGCTCAGCTGGGAATGCACCTCATGCACAGAGCAGACACAAAATGGGAAAGTGAAGTGCTGACTCATTCACCTTGTCTATTGGTCTTTGAGAGCACTGAGGCACTTCTCACAACAACAACAAAAAACAAATTTCAAAAAAAAACACATTACAAAAGTAATTTGATTTCAAGAAGAATAAGAAAAAGAAAGGTTCAGGGATATTCCTGTAGACAAAATGCCTAAAAGTACCACCCTGAGTTTATAGATGATCTTATTCCAAGGGACCACTTACGTATCAAAGCCATGTCAAATGACTACACTGCCAACAAATGGACAATTCAACGCCCAGTACTGCACTTGACCAGCTGTGCTGTGGTCAGTGACAGCAAAATGACAAGGGAGAGACTGGAGAGGAAGGAGATGGCAACTGCCTGCTGTGGAGTGAGCAGATCTCTAATTTGAGGAACGGAGAAAATAATGGCTGAATGTTACTGGAAAACAAACGACAGGAAAACAGATCAAAATGCTAAGAGGTATCTGCACACAGTGTTTTTTCAAAACTTCTCTGCGAGGGCCCTGAGAGATCACTATGCTTCAGCTGTCCTGACCTGAAAAGCCCTGGGGCCTCTGCCCATGGGGTTAAGGACTCCATGTAAGCTCAAGTCCAAGCCTAAGAGATGCTGTAAGTGGACCAGTAATGAGCTCCATCTTTGATTTTGTCTCCTGGACCAACCTTGGATCTATGTTCAAGGTAGCTTGTCTCCAGTCCTGTCCCTGGCCATGGCTCCTTGGATGGACCTTGGAGCTGTATTGTAGCCTTATCTCTGGCCCCATTTCTTTTTGCTGCTGACTAGACTCCTTGTATGGACCTGGTTCATCCACTCAACTTCTCTGGGACTGCTGATGGGAGCTGCTTCTTTTGGTCCTTGCCTGAGCTGTGCTGCTGGCTGATGTGCCTCGTCTGCTCCCTTGCTGCTCCCAGCCTTGCCTTGCCAACCTGTCTTCCTGCCTTGACCCTGGGCCTGCCTCATCACTGCCAACTGGCTGATGGTCACTAGTCTGTGCTGACTCTGGCTTCTGCCTCTGAGCTGCTGGATTCACCCTGTGCCCTGCCGGTCCCTGCTGCCACACTTGCTGCTGGTTCCCCTGACCCTGTGGGAAGCTCGGTCCTGCCTGCCTGGAGGAAAGGCAATCAGAGTCAATAATATTTCCCTTTATATCAGTGGAAACATAATTTATTTCAATTTGTTCAGCAAATCATCCTCTGCTTTGATAGACCATTCTGAAGCTGGCAGAAATCACCCTAAAACTTTCCTTTCTCCTCAGCAAGCTCTACATCGGCAGTGAATACAGACACAGTCCACATCTAATGACCCAGTCGTGTTCTCACTAATAGCAAAATTCTCATCCACTTCAAAGGGAGAAGGAACAAATCTCGGGTCTTACTCCTTGAACCCACAAAGAAGATGACAAAAGCAGTCCCCTGCAGAGTCTCGTTTAACAGAGGCCTTCATCAGTAAGACAAGGTGATCTTATTAATTTGCATGGGGAATGTGCGTGGAGAAATACAGGATCTCTGCTAGTACAGAGACACAGATAGAAAACGGATATGTTGATTAGCAAAATGTCATGTAATAAGTCACTACTATGAATGAGTTTATAACATGAAATTATTATTTAGAACTAGCATCATATCCTCTCTTAATACAGTTAAATAATACTGTATTATTATAATACAGTTCGTAACTGCATTAATAAAGTTAAACATTTACTATATATGTAGATGTTTGAAAGTTAATTAAACCTGCTGTTTTACTAAAGAGTTATAAAGAGTTGTAAATGTTTAATTTACTAAGCAGTTGCTAAGCTTATTTGCACTGTTGCTCTTTGACATAGATACGGAAGGCTGAAGTCCTTAGAGAATCGGGCAAGAGCTATTTCTACAATCTGATTTTGATTAATGAAGTTCAGTGGAGTATAATTTGACAAACTACTGACTTTATTTACTGACAAAAAAAATAATCTCTTACCTCCGTTGTCTTTTAGGTGCAGTGCTATCTTGGTGTCATCTATAAAAGAAATTCAAAGTTAGTTGTAGAAAATGCATTTTTCTAGGTCATCAGTCATTTTAGGAATGACTTTCTAGTGTAAAAAAATTTTTCACAATTAGAAAATTATTTGGTACCCAATGAAAATTAGATTTTGGTGTTCTTATACTAAGCAACGCCTTACTTCCTTATTACTAAGGAAGTATTTATAACAGTGTTAAAGTGTCAAAGAGGATTCAAAATACTGGTAAAGAAGGGTCTGTCTCATAACACTTACAAATCATTGAATGGTTTGGACTGGAAGGGATCTTAAAGATCATCTAGCTCCAACCCCCCTGCCATGGACAGGAACACCTTTGACTAGACCAGGTTGCTCCAACAATTCATTTATGTTACATGTTCATACATAGCTTGAGCGTTCTGTTATATTAAGGACTATATGAACCAACATATGACAGCAAAATAAAACAATGACTCTCTTCTAAGAATCATGAAAAGGTCTATGAGTTTTAAATCCTATTTATTTCCATATTCCTCTTCTTGTTGTGAGATTTAATAAACAAAATGCCAGGGAATAATGCTGCTAATGCAGTTCAAATCCTGCACTGACAGTTTCTAAGCTTCTCTTGCTGCATAAAAACCAGCCTTTCTTATCAGTAGATTCCCACCTTGAAATGCCTTCAGTTCAAGTTTTCTTTTCACAGGCCACTTAACAAATCTGCCTGTACCTGGTACCTTTTCTTGTGTTAACATACAATTCCAACAAAAAACTCCCACCCCACCCCCCTTTTATAGATGCTAGGATGCATTTTGATTAATCTGGGTTAGCTTTTCTATGCAGCTGCATTTTCTCCAGCAGCAGGAAAGCAGGATATGTCAACTATAGAAAGGCAAGATTTAAGCAGCCAGTGGAACAAGGGTGAGAACTGACACACCATAACCTACCCAGTTAATTCAGTTCAGAAGCCTATAGAAACTATTTCACAACAGTGATCACTACATGAAAAGAACAGTGTTAACTGACTGAAAAAAGTAAACAGGCAAATTTCAAAGAGGTTTTTAATTTAAGTTATCTCTAATTTTCACCTGGCTAAGTAGAATACTCAAAGGGATTCAAAATTCATTACGCCTGTGATGGGAGTTTCTTCACTAACTTTAGCAGGGCCTTCTCCATCTACTGTTTAAACAGGTTTTGGACTATGGCCTGATGGTTAAAGGAACACAAACAACTCATTGTAACCACCAGTTCTCCAGGAGTCTGCCTGGCTTGTCCATGTGCCCCCAGCACCACCCCCTCCTCCAGTGCTCATCCCCTTCGCACCTTACTGTTGCGAGAGCAAGCTTCAATTTAAAAGTAGTAGCAGATATGGCTTTGACTGCAGTTCCCCACTCCTTCTACTGCCCCAGAGAGAAAAGGTCAACATGAACACATACGTAAAGGAAACAAATTTCTGTTAGACTTGCAAATGATGTGTTTGCACTACAGAATAATGCAGTATATACACTTCACCTTCTGTGGGCAGGCTAGTTGGCAGGTGGGAAGTGGTAGATCCTCTGGTGGTCGTTAAAACTCTGAACTTTGTGGTGGTTGGCAGAAGTGTGCTGGTAGAGTATGGAGGTGTTTCAGTTGTGTCTATATTCTTCTCACAAATCTTATCTTTTGACTGTTGGGAAGCAACACAAATGAAGAAGAGAAAATTAATTCTCAGTGGAGACTGTCACTGAATGAAGAATTTAAGCATGGACAAGCTGTCAGGATAAAAAGAATGAAAATGGAAACACTAAATCAAGGCATTTAAAGAGCTTTTTCTTTTCCATTTTTTTTCCTTTGAAGTGCTCTACATGGCATTCAGCAACATATATTTTTGATTTAGTTGCAAAACTTACAATGCTCAATTATTAATGACAAGGCTTCAGAGTCATCTCTCAATGTCAAACATGTTATTTCCCCCAGTCAGATTTTAACATCTAAGATCACCATTCAAATTTTCACTCTTCTACTGTGAATGCTCACTGGCATTGGTCTGGGTGCCATAACACATGTAAAAATTGATACGTGGGAATTAAATTGTAGCTCTTCATAGTGAGTAATGTGTAGTCAACTGGAGCATTTAATTAGGCTTTACATGCCCTTATCACAGAAGAATATGCATATATGTATAAAATGTGTGCATGTATTCAGCCTACAGGATATTTATATATTACACTATAGAGCAACACATTCATTATATGCCTATTAATTCTACATAATATTAATATTTCACATATTATATGTGTATACAATAATTATCATATAAATGTAAGTATTATAAACTATAAACGATACTAATCATACAAGTGATTATATTACATTACATTAGCACACCATATTTACCATCATTTACCATTTAACTTTTATTTTCATGGGCAAATATTTTGATATAAATATCAAGTATATATATATATTTTTAATTTCTGGACACTTCTAAAATTCTGCATGTGTAACATTTTCTTCTATGGATCACACAGTTTTGCAGGAAAATACATCCAATTAAGCAGCAGCAAATATGGGAACTGCCTGTAACTCCTGCCGGAATCCCGCAGTATCTTCATTACATTACATTAAATAACATTTAATGAATAACAATACATTCAATAAGGTATCAGTACCTGCAGTATAACTATTCTTTAAATTTCTTCATATTTTATCTTGAAAAGCACTGTTAATTTCCCTGATGCAATTTAATCAAAATTTAGCTCAAAATCTATATTAGAAAGAAGGAAACATTACTATAAGAATCCTCATTATTCATCTTCTTGAACGAACACATCTAAAATTAACCTCTGTGTGCTAATTATTGATCCTTCATTAAACTCCAGCAGTCAGCTCAGGCATCATTCTGGAAGATGCTAAGTAAGCTGTTGCTTCTACTCCAGAGAGCCTGAAAGCTGGACTGCGAGTCGCAATCAAGTAGCCTGAAACTGTGCAAATCAAACTATTAGTTTCTGAGATACAGTGCGTGTATCAATAATTTCCTCTCTGATCATGTACTAAGCCTTGGAGCACTATTTGTATTAAAACAAGAAGGGAGAAAGCAGAATGGGATGCTCCTGTCGTGCCGAGAGCAGTTTTTGGATAGCTTAATCTACAGGCACAACTGGGTTCCAGCTAATTATAACCTGGATTAAAGCAATATAAACGCTGTGCACTATAACAATAAATACTCCCAGTAACTTTTACTTTATGTTCTTGTAAAGGCTATCCTCCACAGAAAAAAAATCTCACAGAAATTCTATTCTTAAACCATCAGTTTACAAATTGCAAAGCTGAAGCTTTAAACCCATGTAACAAGGCAGTATGTAGGATGCAGTTATTTTGCAATTACAGTTATAACAAAAAAATATTTCTTCCATCAGACTGGATTTATATTACTTCTCTTTGCTTCTACTGAGAATAAAACAGAATGTGCTTTACTAACTAGACACTTGAGGCTATATTTTGCCCTCAGTTTCACCTGACTTTACACCTCAAAAAGGCTATGTTGCTGAAATTCATGACAGAATCTAGCCCTTTCAGCCAGAATGGAAAAGTAACTGCTTTTTTATGGCCATCAGAAGACTAACAGTGTCATAAATTAATTTGTTCCTATTACCACACTCCCTAAATGAAAACAAAACAAAACAAAACAAAACAGAACCCTCAAACCAAAAAGCTTTCTAAAGAGAGGACATTGGGAAAGAACTAGCAGCAAGATATTTATGTTTGTGTCCTGAAAATGAAACGTTCTGGTCCAGAAGTACTCCGAGTACCTCTTTTAGAGAAGGTTTATAGTCCTTGTTTGACAGTTCACCACTACCACAGATATCTTTCTTGTTCTCTCACTGTCTCTCCAGGAAAGGATGTCCAAATGCCTTGTTTGGGTTTTGTTGTTGTTGTTACTCTGTTTAAAATCTTTGAATTAATCTATGTCATTTCTTCTGTACTGAATGATTCAGCCAGATTTCATAACCAAAATGTAAGACATGCAATGCTTGTTTTTCACTTACAACTGCTCTGGCAGAGGGTTTTCTGAGATTAGGAACATCACAGTTTCTTCCGCTTTTCTGGCAAGAGTCAGAGATCTAAGAGAAAAACTGCAGGGACATTCTCTTGGGGCAGACTTTCCAGTATTTTTATTTTATATTTAAAATATTTTGTCTGAGATAAAATTTTTCTTTTGTGTTCATTTTATTCCCTGTAATGGGGAGTGAAATTGCTCAGCCTATTTTTCTTTATTATGCCTTACAATGTTTCCACTGAATGATAAAGATAAATATATATCTATGGCCTTGAAACAATGCTTCATAACATGAAGAGTTTAATCAAAAGCATAAGTAGATAAAAGGTCTCTGATGGGCTGGGGATATAAACTATTCACATACCTCTTCAGGGCAGCCACTGTCTACCCAATCTTGCCGGTGACGGTCAAATCCACTGGAGCATCTTTAAAACGATTAAATAGATAGAAGTTGTCCAGATGGAAATAGGAGGAAAACAAGAACAAGAAAGGAAGAGAGATGAAGAGAAAAGAATGACAGAGAATAAGTAAATTATGTGATTGATTTTAAAATCCATATATTTATGTGGTATTACTATTATTCAAGAGGCTGTCACCTGCAATCCTGCAATATGAGTCAATCATTTAACTCATTTTGGTGAAAGGCATTTCAATGAATGAGTTATTATTTTAGGTGGCTTTTTTTAATTTATAGTTTTTAAATGGGAATGTCTCCTTTCTGCCAGATAATTATTCTTAAGACTGCACTGAGCCACAGCATGTTTAAGTTTGATGTCAGCCACACGGATGTAAATTCATTTAATTATTTCTATCCAGACTTCTTAGACAGGAAAATTTAATCCCACAAAGGATGCAGTGAACCGGTCACTGCTTTTATCAGGCAAGGTGATTTGAGACATCAAGATACACACACAACGATGAGATCAGTGTTCACAGATTTAGATAACAGCCCCTCTGAACAGCCTTCATGACAATTAGAGAATACTATACAGCTGCTTCTACCTCCTCACTAGCTGCAGAAAACTGAAGTTGCATGCATATTTTTCATCAAATTATGTGAGGTTAATAACCTACTTGCAATATCCTTTCTTATTTGCAATATATAGCAAAGAAATTTTAAAGCAACTTGTAACACTTTAATATAATGATTCCCCTGGCAATCCTCATCTCACAAGAGTGTTATCAGTGTTTTTGCAGTAAATTAGGGTTTCCTAGACAACAGGTAGCACTACAAACAGAAAGCATTATTAAAATGGCAAGCAAATAACTAAACCATGATGCCCAACTTTAAAAGAGATTCTGTCCAGTTAGGATTGTGGTTTTGTTTTTGTTTTGGTTTGGTTTGGTTTTTATTTTATTTTATGGATTAATTTCCTGTAGTATTTTGTTATGAGACGGGGTGCTGTCCATTGGCATCCATGGTCATAACTTACCTGACTGTAAAGCGAATAACTTTCTCACTGTCTTTTAATAATACTAGGCAGGCAAATAAGGCCTGGTTATGGCAAGCTGTATTTATGGAGTAATTTTTTGTTCCTAATGAACTGAAAGATATCAAGATAAGCCAAGTACTACCCTAATTCAACCAAGGTAAATGGGTGCATTTGAAAGAATGGAACAGTGAAATCTCTGCAAACCTCATGAAGTTTAACAAGGCCAAGTGCAAGGTCCTGCACACGGGTCAGGGTAATCCCAAGAACAACTGCAGGCTGGGAGGAGAATGGATTGAGAGCAGCCCGGAGGAGAAGGACTTGGGAGTGCTGGTGGATGAGAAGCTCAACAGAAGCCAGCAATGTGTGCTTGCAGCCCAGAAAGCCAACTATATCCTGGGCTGCATCAAAAGGATTGTGGCCAGCAGGTTGAGGGAGGTGATTCTGCCCCTCTACTCTGCTCTCATGAGACCCCACCTAGAATAGTGTGTTCAGCTCTGGGGCCCCCACCTTAAGAAGGACATGGAATATGTTGATTCTCTTGTTAGTTATACTTGCACTGATTAACATTCCATCATTTGCAATATTCCTAAAAAAAATACCCTGAAACCTAACAGGTCTCAGTTATCATTGACTGTATAGCAACTGACTTTTCCAAAAATCTATTGCAGAGAAAAAAAAAAGATGCCCAAACCAGACGTATTCCAGAGAAATTCAGAGATTCCTTCCTAATACTTGGGAATAAAGCTACTGTAAAGTTTTTTCTTCTTATTGAAGAGTGAGTGAATCAGTGCTATGCTGGAAGCTCAGTGCTGCCTACCCGTGTTTGGGATGTTCTGCCTTCATGAATGTTTGAGAGAACAAGGAGGACTTCGCTAAGCAGAAAGAAATGATGGCATGACATTCCAGGTATGAATAGAACATATTTTTCTGAAGTGTCAGTCTCTCCTACTTTTCTCTAAAGTTTGAAGAGCTTCATTAGCAAATTCTGTGCCAATCTTGAAGGAGAACAGGACTAATTTTCAGATGTACTGAATACTCACGAACAAATTACATTTCAGTCATATGGCTCTGGCTAAAATCTAATGGGTTTGAGGATATTCTGTATGTTTGAACATCAAGTCACTTCATAAATTCCTACTATAGAGGTAATTACTGCAGTTGCATATCCATGATAATTCAAACTGAACTGTACTTAGACCCAGTAGGGCTAATGACCTTTTATCTTAGATTTTATCTTATATCTAAATGGTGTCAAACTTGAGGCTCCAAGGATTAAATGAATAAAAGCTTATCCCAGGTGCACTCATTTACAGTTCTTAAGTTTTTTTCTGACAAACTACTGAAATAAGTAACATTGCTGGGGTTGATTTTTTCGCCAAAACCAGCAAAAGTGGAACACAACATGCAATGACTTGGAATGGCTTTTTCAAAAATCTGAGACACTCTTCAGATGACCCTACCTAAAAGAAAAATACATTAAACCCCGGACACTGTTTATTTTACATTTTCTATTGATGCAATAGTGAGTTCAAATAATATTATCAGAAAGCAGCTTTATCAGGAACTAGATAGGCTCCAAATAAACCTGTTTGTGAACTTCCTTTGAGGCATGTGTCATTGAGATGTAAGCTGTAGCAGATACTATCATTGCTCTGTCCTTGAGTTAGAATTCTGGGAAGTGTCATTTCAGTGCACCAACTCTATCAACTGCATTTTTAAGACCTTCATCTAGTAGCCTGGTGATAATTCCCTGTTGCCATTAAAACATTGGAGCAGATTTGATTAGCTATGCCATTTATGCCATCTGTCAACATGGCCATTTTATAACAACTTCATTTCCAAGTGATGACCGAAATCAGCTCCTAGCAAAGCAATAACAAAGATGTTCCAGGAAACGAGAATAGGGACATTCATGAAATGTAAGGAATTCCAGGATTTGTGTGGAACTCTGGAGTACTGGTTCAGGGAGCAAAGGGAGAACTAAAGTCTCTGCATGCATAGCAATGATGATTTGGTATAACTAACGCAGCTGAATCTGGGTAACAAGACAGACGTCAGAATCCTTTCAGTGAACTGTACGTAGGCAGAAAGAAGATGGAAATGTCGTCAGATCTACCAGGTGCCATTTTCCTCTATTTGCCAGAGAATATTTAAATGACGAGAAGTATCCATTCAGTGCATGGGCTGAAATGCATTGCTGCTTCTCTTATAAGAGACTTCAATGAGGATTAATAACAATAATAAATCAGATACCCTGTATACAGAAAATTCATCGAGGATGAAGAAGGCAATAAGTCCAGATGGAAAAATCTTTTCACCAGATTGAGCTGGTATAAAACAATCCAGGGCATTAAAATGCATACTACGTGCCCTTTAAACCAACTTTTTTTTTTTTTTTTCCTGGGATATCTGTAATAGTATATGAAGAATGGATTTTTGAGTACTGAAGGGCATTCCAGAAATCTGAAATGATTTCATAAATGCCATGTAATTACTCAGCTCAGATAAAATGTTTATTAACTCCTCTAAATAAAAAGTTAACCTGGAAAATTAAATAGGCAATTTAACAAATCGAACTCTTTTCTTCCTTTTACTACTAAGGAAGGCCCATCACATTAGGAAAAGATTAAGACACTTGCTAGGTTGTTTGAATTACTAAAAAAAGAATTAGAACATTTTAAAGTGGAATTTCTTTCCAAGCTGAGGGAGACAGGAAGTAAAAAATAAATATATATTAAAAAATATATTAAAAAAAATAAAAATACTGGAAGTCTTGAACTTTGTGCTTTTCCACTGAAAAAGTATCTTATTATAGTGATTTTTGGGTGAGAAAAAGCACTATCTTTGTTCTCTGTCTGGCTTTGCCTCCCTTTACTGTAGAACAGGCTCTATTTTGGTTTCTCTATCCTTCAAATACCACTTCCTTGTCACACTGTACTGTCTGGGAAAATATTGTATTTTCCTTCCTTTGTCATTTTCCACTTTCCCTTGTCACAAATGCAGAACTTTATCACAGCTTGAAGAGCTCATGAAGTTCATGTGAAGTGTCACTGTGAGTGACTATGGTATGAATTTGTAAGGTATTTGAATGGTATTTGTGCTTAGCATCTAGCTTGATACACCTAACCATATATCTGAATTCAAGCATAAATGTGTTGTCTGTATTTATCCATTACTTAAACATATTAATTAAACTGTACTTTAGAATAGGATGACAATTTGACTTGCTAGAAGAGTATTTGCTCACAAATACCTTGCTGTTACAAGGTAAGAATGGCTAAGATGATTTGCTTAATACGAGAATTTTAAACATACAGCACTACAAAAAGCCTGTACTATTTTCATATTCATGAAAAATTCAAATATAATTACTAAGGCATAGTTATTGATGCAGCATATCTGCTTCTGCTGCATTGAATTCCAACTTTGCTTTAACATTGTGTGTCTCTCAAAATTTCCAACATTCAGTTGATGATAAGGAGGATCAGACAGTGGCACAAATTTCAGCTGACAATCTTCAAGCTGATGATGGTTCCACAATTTTACAGGACAGAAAGTTTGAAAAAATACAGCTACTTGTTCTGTAAAGCACTCCTGCAATATCATGTAAACAGAGAAGTGAAAAGATGTTAAAAAAGTGCTGTTATTTTACAGTAAAAGAGATTGAACATGAGTAAGACTTGGTATTTGTAACTGACACAATATATGAATAGGCAGTAGGAAATAAGGATTCCCACAGGGAATTTCTGCTGTTGGAAGAGCCTAAGAATAAAAGAGGGCTAAAAGAAGTAAGTTTTATTTCCAATTCAACTAGAAAGAAAGGAAAAAAATCCAAGTTAAAGTGAGACCTGGCAGAGTTCTGATTAAAGAATAGGAGGATATTTTCTATAATCTTAATGTCAGTTACAACAACAAAGGAAACATGTTAAAAAGCATATAAAGAATAAAGAAGTGTTTTCTAAAGACTCTGCTTTGAATAACTAGAAGGAAAA